TGGGCGCTTCCAGTGCTGCATCCGTTTGTTGAAACATTTCAGTTGGTGTTCACTCGATTCTGGAGCCTCGTTTTTCACCGTTCCCTTCAGTGCAGCTTGGAACCTCTTCCTTCAGTATCAACAGTTCTGATCATATGCTACCTCCTGAAATGGTTGAATGTCAACCAATTATTAACATGTAAGTACAGATTTATATTTTCAACGTGATCTACTTCTTCTCCCTCTACCACAGAAACCAAATGATCGTGATCATAAAGTGAGACTGGCAATCGGAAATGGCTTGCGAGGAGATGTTTGGACAGAATTCGTCAAGAGATTTGGGGACATTCATGTTTATGAGTTCTATGCTTCCACTGAAGGAAACATTGGATTTATGAATTATACAAGAAAAGTTGGTGCTGTTGGAAGAGTAAACTGTCTACAAAGAGTAAGTACATTGAAAAATGAGAGGATTTATATAGCCAGTTTTCAGAATACAGAGATTTCTTTAAAGCTACTTCATGATGATGTTATTATCAGAATATCTTGCAGCATCAGAGCCGCGGTCCCTCCAACTGATGCTATGTCTGGTAGTATCACAAAGAGAGGTTTTGCTCATTCTCTGTAACAATGACTTCAAAAAGTCAGGGTCCTCCAATATAAAAATCTTTAATTTTTGTTAATCACAACCCATTATGCCTTGCTATCTGCAACTTATGTGGTCTTTTTGATGCCATTATTACTTGTATGTGATAAAAACATATTCTTACGTTCCTTAACAAGCCCTGGTGGTGCAGTGGTTAAGCGCTCGGCTGCTAACCAAAAGGTCGGTGGTTTGAACACACCAGCTGTTCCATAGGAGAAAGATGTGGCAGCCTGCATCCATAAAGATGACATTCTTAAAAGCCCTGTGGGTTCTACTCTGTCCTATAGGGTTGCTATGAGTCGGAATCGACTTGATGGCAATTGGTTGGATTTTATGTTCCTTAGGTCTCCATTTCAGCATCTGAAGGTTACTGTGCACTGTGAAATATAGTATTTCCCTTTAGTGGTCTTGTGCATCAGAATCACCTAGGAGCTTTTTATATACTCAGGTGAAGGACCCTACCCCTTGAGCTTTGGGTTCAGTTGTCCTGAGGTGAGGGCTTTTTTAAAAGCTGTGCACCAGGATTAAGAACCACTGTCCTAGACCTTCAAGAGACCTGGGGTGCATCCCAGTTCCAGGAACTGGGGAACATCTATCTTCACTTAATAATTCCATGAGGAAGAGATTTCTTATTTTTAAGCCAGCTCACATAGCAGTCTCTTCACCCTCCCAGTCATTTTATGACCTGGAATCTCTGCACGGTCTGTTTGCCTTTTTAGTGCTTGAGCAGTCAGTCTTCCAGATGACCAACTGTTCTGCAGAATTCCAGGAATATTCAGAGAGTGCTGAGCCTCCACTGGCTTGAGCAGTCACTGCCATCATCATGCCTCTGGGCAATGCATCCTGCCTGACCACACAGCAGCCAGCCATGCTGGAGCTCCCAGGCTAACCTGCATCTCCAC